TACTGCAAGAGAAGCAGTTAAAATTAAAATGTTTAATCGAGTGTGATCAAAAAGACTGTCGCGCGTTTCGACAATATATATTATAATATATAATACATTAACGGTACTTATTTATATTATATAGTAGTACGAAGTTTTGCGCTTCGGCTCGTGGAATAAGGTTAGAAATTATATAAAAGTATCTGTTATGTTGTAAAAACCGTAAAACTGTTTTAAGAAATATATTGATTTAAATAAAGACTAGAAATAACAGCGACTTAATCTCAAAATTAAAAAATATAAATATATACTACCTTTCAAAGATTTTCATAGTTTCTGAAATCACAATCATTTTACTTGCAATATACATATCTGTTGTTTTCGTAAACCTCAAAAAATGTACTTTCATTGCAGAAATTTTTTTAAAAATTATATTATTTATAAGTATCTACTAAGATTTAGACACCACAAATTCGGGTTAAGAACAAAAGAGTAATACTTGTAGTTTCGAAAAAAATTGCTCATTTAAAACTTTAAAAATATTTGAATCACTTTTGGTTCTCCTAACTAGTGTGAAAATTTTAAGAAATCGAATTTTTTTCACCTCTCAATTAGAGTCAAAAATTGAGTTATTTGTATTGAGATTTTTGTTATGGAAGCAAATGAAAAAATCTAATTTAAGTATATATTAAATAATATAGAATTTAAGCTGTTGTGCTAATTACGAAAGCTGTTAATTAAACGTGATACAACTAACTTCGTTTGTTAATACTTTATATTAAATTTCACCATTACTTTACTCAGATTAAATTAAAAATTAGCGTGAAATACTTGAAAATTGAACAGGAAGCTTTCAGTTTTATTTTCGTTTTCATTTATCACTTTTTTTACAACTAATATGTTTAGAATATACCTAATTATAAAACTTCTGCTTAACACAGTGGAATCACGTGTCAATTTGTTATAAAAATCACTAATTTCAGATTTCCGTTAAACCACAAATCTCTAAATAATCGCATATTAATTTCATATTATGAAGAAAATATGATTATAATGAATTACATTTTTTATGTGGCCTAAGTGATTGAAAATTTGAAATGTATAGCTAAGTTACTGGGTGAGAGATTTATGCACAATAAAAGTGCTACAATGTTTGCAAGGGTCGGGCCTTAAATCATGTTTTAGTTACACTAAATATTTAAGTATAATAATAGTAATAAAATATTGTGTAAGTCAGGTTTTGTAACTCAGAAAATTGAGCACTTTTTACTTCATACAATAGTTTTGCAAAGAAAAATTAGGAATTGAATTGAAATAGTAAAAAGTTATACAATTTTATTGTTACGAAAAATCTTTCATATATTGAGTACAACTTTGACTTTGTTGTTGCTTTCACATGTCAATTTTTTGGTAAGAGCTCAGAGCTCAAATTAGCGAGCAAAAAGTGGTGAATCGAACACCACATTATGGAAAATTGCCTTTATATTGTATTGAGTATATGTTTGAAGTCTTTAATGTACTATACGCTTAAATATTTAACTATTGTGATTAACAGTAGCTTCTTGCGACCGTAAAAATAAACTAACCTGCGTACATTCTTAAATTATATAATTAACTTCCCGCCAAACACATTTCTACCGCACTTGACAACAGTCTGCGCCATCAATGTGACTCAATTTAGAGTCGAGCAAAAGCTCGCAACAAATATTGAAAGCTGCAGCTTTGAATACAATTCGCTTTCATTTGTAACTGCTTTTACATTGAAAATATAACGATTTTTTGATTTTGTTTTTTGTTTTTGCATTTCAAACAATTTGCACTACGGCTTTTGTAAGTGGATAAGGGATTGTGGAAAAAACTAAATAAATTGAATGAAGAATGAATGGCACAGAACACACTTGCACGCTGGAGATGACATAGAGATAGACGTAATTACTTTTACTTTACTTTTAATTGCTTTGTTTACGTTACGCGCGAGAGCAGCCAAATCCAAATAAAACTCAACTAAAACGTGAATTTCATAAAGCGCCGCCGCCGCTTATGACGATTTGCAACGTTTTGTAGTTGGTTGTTTGTTTTTGTTTCAGTGGACTTTTGAATGGACAGACAGACTTTCGCGTAATCGCCTAGGCATGATGCGGGCTTTCCCCCGCCGGTCAATGCTGAATGCCGCGTGTTTATGGTACGATTCAGCGCTGATACTGTGGTTCGATTCAAATTCCATGAATAAGCGTTTAATGATAATGCCACATACAGACATATGTATGTGTGTATGTGTGTGTGGCTTAAAGTGCGCCGAGCGAAGTGCGAAATACTTTAATCGCCTATAAAAACGTGCGCGGCGCTGCAAATGGGAAATTTTCCAAAAAAGTAACACAATTTTAAAATTTTTATGAAGCCTACAAGTGTTTACTATTAAGAGATAAATTGTTTTTGCTTGTGATTTGCATTTCAATTCGTGCTATTCGCTTGAGAAAAACAGCTGTGCCAAACAGTGCTTTGTTTAATTTAAATACATTTAAGTTTATTTTCTATTCTTTAAAGTTATATTTTTGCATTGCTGATTTTTTTCACACGTGTGCTCATTCAAGTAGAGAACTACGAGTTTTGAGGCTTTTATCTAGATTAAAAATATGAAATCGCTAGTGAAATGTAACTATCGAAAGTGGTTTAAGCGCTGAATTTCTAAATATTTTTTTGCTCAAACAACTATTATTTAGAATTTTCGCTGTAATTATGTGTAAAACAGTCTAAGAAAATTAAAAAAAAATTTTAATGCAAAATAATTTGAGAAGTGTTAAAAAATGTAAGAATTGCAAAAGATATATAAAAACGGAAAAACAAATTTAAAAAAAAAATTTGATCGAAAATAAAAGTAAAAAAATAATTTTAAATCTGTTAAAAAATAAAAAATTTTAAATAAAAGATAATAAATTTAAAAAAAAAGTTTATTAAGTAAATAAAAAAACTAAACAAATAACACAAATTTTAAACAAAAGTTAAAAAATTTAAAAAATAAAAAAAATTAAATCAAATATGAAAACAATTTTAATATAAGTTAACAATTGAAACAAAATATAAAGCATATGTACAATAAATTGTTAAAAAATAGTAAAGGCAAAAAAGTTCAAGTATATATATATGTATATATCTGAAGTTAAAAATAGGTGGACTAGATTATTATTACTACATACAAAAAAACTTGCACTTTTATATTAAATAAAATCAGTTTCTTAGAAGTGTTGAATAGAACAAACTACCTGTCCAACAAAAAGACTACCATAAAAATACAGAAAAAATAGGAAGGGGTCCGAATACAGTACTAAACTCGAATTGAATTCAACTGGATAAGTTTTACTTTTGCGTTCCACTGTATATATATTTTTATAAGAGTTACGTCCTAACATAGCGAATACAGAGGTTGCGAATCGAGGCGTCATTGGCTTGCAAGGGAAAATTTTATTTGAACACTTTATTAAGCATACTTTCCATTAAAGGTGAAAGTAATTAAAAAAACTATTTACAATTATTATTTTTAACATTTTCTTAAGGGAGATTATTTAAAATATATTAGACTGATTGATGCATAATTCATTTAAAAAATTTAAATAAAAAACCCTTACAGCAGTTTGAAGTTCCAAACACGATTTATGATTCAAATAATTAATCATGAATACTCATGTTTAATTTGAAAAAAAATTTAAATATTGTATATATATTTTTTTATGTATATTTTTTCCTCACATATGGTTTTATTTTTATTATATTGCTTATAATTTCTTAAGTAATTCTGTTTTTGTTTTGGTTATTTTAAATTATTAAATTATTATTTTTTAATTTTATGCTTTCTAAATAAAAATTTAATTTACACATTTTGTAGACAATTTTAACACATTTTAAGATTCACACTTCTTTGCAGCCACTAGCAAATCCCGTAGCCCCCAGCCAGCTAGCAGACGATAAGCTTTTCAAGGTTAACAATTTTGCACATAAACTTTAAAGTCATTTTCGCCTATTTGGCTGTAGTTTCCACCCACACATACAATATAATATAATGGCAACTCATGAAATTTGCTGGCAATAATGTGAAACTGAAAACTTTGAGCAGATAAGCGTTTACGCGTATTTATATTTTTAGATAACACTATAGAGGAAAGGAAGAGGAAGTTTCATTTGATAAAATTCGGCACCTTAAATGTTTGTGCTGAAGTCAGTCTGATTTATGGTTTTTCTTGTAGAAAATTATTTTTAGAGAAACAAATGTAGATATATATTTTTTTCAATTAAAAGGAAAAGTTTAGAATAAACTAAGTTAGAGTTAAAAAAGAAGAATTTAATAAAAGAACATTTTTTTTGCAAAATATTTTTGTTGAAATATATTTATGCATGCTTTTGTATATATGTATACACATTTAATTTATTTTATAATTAATTAAAAGTTTTAGACCAGTTTAGTCTTGAATAAAAAACTTTTTTTATTTACAAAAATTTTTGTCTCACATGTTTTTTATCGCAATAACTTGGAATTTTCACGAGCAAGTATTTTTCAGTGCTGAAACTATACAATTTATCCTATTCCGTAGAAAAATGTGATGACTGTGACTGTGTTAAAACTTTTTGTTATCGAAATTAACTGAAATTTTCACTGGAAAGAATTTTTGTTTAAATTATAAAATATATTTAATTATAAAATAAATACCAATTCAGTAGAAAAATTATTTATCGACCTCGGTTACTGATAAGTGAAATTTTTGGCACATTAAAAATTAGCAAAATAATTTTTTTTATGTTTGAGGCACTTAAAAATATTATCGCATTGTTTTTATTATATCGATATTTATAACGATATTTATATTTGATATATTTTCGACTTAAAATTGTTTATAATGCGTTTACACCCAACAGCCACACACATTTATATATGTATATATTCCTTATGCACTTAAAAATATACCATATATGGAATATTCCATATACAGTGTTCTTCCACTCCTCTGACTTTCGTAGAATTATTAACTTGCCTTTTAGAACATCCGTTGCGCCCTGCCTCTATATATGTATAGGCGTGTATTTGTATGATATTTTATGTTTGCTGATTTTTTACTAAAACACTTTCCCGCTAAATCTAAATATTTATATCAATTGAACGCACATAAACACACTCACAAGCACTTTTCCACGCCGATTTGAATTTGAAACTATACGTGTGTGTATGTTTTGTTTTTATTAGTTGAACGTATGACTTGTTTTACTATAAAATAAATTATAATTAATTAAATTGAAATTATTATAACCGACTGAGAATGTTCAAGTTGCGGCACCGATAACGACAAACGCGCGCGCGACACACTCAACACTTAGCGCTTGCAATGCTCGAATAAAAGTGTAGTCGCAAAGGTGGCGGGCACCGCTACATATGAGATGCGCACACCGAGCGCACACAGCGGAGACAACAAAACACAAAACAGCTGACCGAGCGACGAGCGACCGACTGACTGAGTGCCTCAATGGCTGGCTGGTTGGCTGGCCCACTGCTTGGCTGCCTCACTGACTGGGCGGTTTGTCTCTTGTCTGTTGTAGTTATTGTTGACTGTTTACATACACTTGTCGTTATGCGCGTTTGTGTGTGCGTCTGTATGTATTTTGGCGTACAACTGCGCTGCTAAAACGACCGAACTGTGCTGAGCGTAAAAAAAAACGTTGTTTCTTTATTAATAATTTGTGTGGCTGTGTTTTGGTTGAGCACGCGGAGCGGTTGTACCGTCATTTGCTGGCGTCGTCCAACAGTTACAATCAATGACTGACAACAGCCCCAAAAGCAGCCGAGTCAGAACCAACTGCTTGTTGTGCCGTCGCCAACAAATCTAGCGCCAGAGTTGAGCGCCGGAGTGGGCCGGAGTGCCAGCGAGCGCGCAAGAGCGCTGCTGAGCGCCAATCAAATTTCAAGAACCCACAAGTGAGCGCAGCGTAAGCTAAATGAAATAGTAAATAAACCGTACAATTGACCCGTTGGAAGGGGTTGGCGTGCACACTCGCGCATTTATATTTATATAAGTTTGTTTGCTTGTATACATGTAGTTGTGTGTACACATATTTTTTAATTTAGCACGAAGAAATTGACTTTAAGCGAATGCAGTAGAAATGGGGTTTAAGCTGTGTTATGGCGTTCGAAGCAATTGTTTTTTATGAAGTTAATTTTTTTAGTGTGTCAATAACGACGTTTTAAGCGGCTTTTTTTATAATGACGGTCTTTAATTCGTATTTAATTGAAATGTTAATAAATGGAAATTTTGTAAGAAATTTTGTATGCAAAAATATTGACAAATTAACTAGTAATTTTTTTAAAGAAATTTAAAAAAAATATTTTTAAACAATTATAAAACAATTATATTTTAAATATTAATAAAAAAAAAATTACATACTTTTTTTTAATACTTTAAAATTTTTTTTATTTAATTAATTAATTTTTTTATTATTTTTTAATACTTATTATTAAAATTTTTTTTTTATTATTTGAAATAAAAATAATTGTTGTTTGTTTTTTATATTTTTTTAATTTTAAATTTTTTAATAACTTTTAAAAGGTATTTTTTTTTTTGTTTAGAAATTTTTCAAATAAACTTGGAAGTATTATTTGTATGAAATATTCCAATTTTTAAATCGGTTTACAGAAAGAAAAATTGTGATGAGCGGATATAATAAAATATTTTAGATTCACACGCACGCACACATAGCTATATCCAATTAAATTTTCAATTATTTGAAAAATAAATAATTTATTGTTTTATATGTATGTAAATCGACATTACAAAAATGAGAGAATGAGGAGTTAGCGGATTTAGAAAACTTATATATTAGTTGTATATCAAAAGCTAACGCTCCGAACTTTGTTACATAAGTTCCAAAAGTTTTTATTTAAGTTTTAATGTTTAAATATTCAAAATATGGCAACACTGAACGAATTTGTTTAATAAATTACACGAATATTTAAAAATTTATAAAATCAACAATTGAAACTTTAATAAGCAATATTTAAGTAAACATACAAATTTATTTTAAAATTAAAAGAAATCAGTTAGTATTTTTAATAGTTTTGAAAATATATCAGCCAGTCTATACATTTAAGTCTTATAATATTTTTTCTAATAAAAATTTAACTCTCTATAGAATATTTCGTTTGAATTTTATTTATTTATTTTTGAAAAAATGTGGCAACCCTATTATTTTAATTGTTTTTTTAAAGATTTTTCTATATCTAATTTGTCTTTATTCCTTTGAATTTTCTTCTCAAAGTTAGGATTATGCTTATAAATTTACAATAGTTAAATAACGGATGGCAACCTTATTCGAAATTGTAAAGCGTCGTTACGCCCCAATTATTAAATAGTTCTGAATATTAGTGAAATATAACAAATTGCTAGACTTTAGTAAATAATTTATCTTGTCAAGTCCAATAATTCTTTGAATTACTCAAAAAATGGTTCGAAATATCGCATAGTACCGCGTACATTGACCGCACCTCTACGCCTCTTAATAATAATTGTTTATCTTTATTGGGAGTTTACATTCATATTTTTGACTGCATATCAGTGTTGTTTAATTTCAAGATGATTTTCAGTCGAGACATTCACTTCACATACGCCCCCAAGCACTCGCGTATGACAAAAAATTTCATTATTCTCAAATTACGTGGTATACCTTACTGAAGCTCCCTTTTGTAGAGATAGCAGCAGCAAATTCAAGGTCACTGATTTCTGCTCATTTTCTAAAATATGTATTTAACGTTATATTCTTAACGGATCATCGCTTTCATCTACTCAAATTTGACAGACAGCTGATAAATTGTTTATCTGTCACTTTAACTCAACTAGACTTCGTTGATTTTTATCTTGAGTTCTTTTTGACTTCTCGTTTGTTATTTCAAAAATTCTTAGCTAAATCAGTTCTTTTTTGTAGTGACTAATATTTGGAAATTTTGAATTCAGATAGCTTATTGTTTTGATAACGCACTTGCAGGTATTACCTGTGCCGTTTGAGTCAATCAAATGATATTTTGAACATCTTGTTGGCATTTGTCAATTAAAAGGCAAGACATGTTTTGCAAAAGTACTTTAGAAAATATGTGTATACCAGCAAAGTTACTCATTTTGGAGGGATAATGAGTCATTATAAACATAGCTCTCTTGTAAGCGAGTTGCAATAAGATGTTCAAGCTGAGATGTTTCGAGTGTAGTTTTAAAGAAACTCTCAACCAAGTTGGCCTGTTAATTTGTAATAAAATTGTACATTTAGAGTATTTGTATGACGTCCCAATGAGCAAAATAGAATAAATTTAAATATTGGTCTGCAAAAATCACTAAAAACTGAAAAAATCAGAGATTTCGGTTCGGAAACAATAGTTTTCTTTTATAATTTTGCAGTTAAATTCGAGTTCGAAAAATGTAGAGAAGATAGCAGATAATTAAATAAATTCGAGTTCGAAAGTTATGTTTTCGAAAATAGGATAGTTCAAGTTTATAGCGGGACTCGCTTGAACTGCCGATGGCATGAACGGACTTGTAATTTAATTCGAGTTCGAAAAATGTGAATTCGCAGATAATTAATAATTAAATAAATTTGAATTCGAAAGTTACGATTTCGAAGATAGATTAGTTTAAGTTTATGCTAACGCTGGCTTAAACTGCCGACGGATTAAAAACACATTTTAATATTATGTATAAACTTCATATAAAATTAAATTAAAAAAAAATATTTTCAAAAATTTGTTTGTTTAAAAATTACTTAATTTTTACTTATCTCATATTTATACAATATTTTTTAAATTTTATTAGTTAATTTAAGTTCTAAATTATTTTTAATTCTCTTAAATTTTTATATACATATTTTTTTATTATATTACAATAATAACTTTTTAAATTCTTTAAAAATTTATTTATTTTTTAAACACTTTTGTAACTGTTATGAGTACTTAATTTTTACTTTTCTTATATTTATATTTTTTCTGTAACTTTATTAGTTATTTTAGTTTCAAAATATGAGTTCTTAAAACAAATTAAATTTTATTCCATTATTTTAATGTTATTAATTATTATTATATTATTTAATTTTTAAAAAAGTTTATTTATTTTTTGAGCATTTTTTCAACTGTTTATATTTATATATTGCAAACTGAAGCAATTACATTAAATTGCTCTATGTAATAAAAATAAATAACTTTTTATCATAACTGTTATTTATTTTTATCATTAGATATTTATTTAATATTATTTACTTTATAAAATTTATTTATTTTATTTATTATATTTTTTATTATTATTAATCTTTATAAAATTAGCATTTCAAGGGCAACAAAAGCAAAAAAAGTACCAAAAAAATGTTGCCAAATTTTTGTAGTAAATTTTCGGTTTTGCAATAAGTTTTGTTAACTAAAAATTTCAAGAAATTTGTTAGTTATAAAAATCACCTTTGCTAGTATAATTATTTTTAATACTTTTTTATTTATTTATTTAGTTTCTATGGCTATTTTTAAAACTATTTTCTTTTTGCACGTTCATTTCGCTTGTGTTCTACATATTAACACACTGCTGTGGCTAAATACGCCTGAGTAAATGATTACACAACTGATATATTGTCATATATATTTTCCAATTGTTATTATTATTTATTTAAATTATTGTATTTGTAAGCAGTTAATTTTTATTTGTTACTATTTTATTGTTTTTTACACTTGAAATATTAGCATTACAAAAGCGCAGCACACACACTAGGCACGAGGCACGAGGCAAGCAATTAAAGTGTTTTCGCATTGTAAATATACAAGAATATTTACATAAACATGTTTGTTTATTTATATATAGCTTTATATTATATATTATATTATCTAACTTTTCAACTGTAACAGCTAGCCAAGCGTATTTTGAAGGCGCAACACACGAGAGGACAAACGAATTTCGTTGCAACTAACGGCGACTGCAAGTGCAAGACGAGCATTTTTGGCACTAAAATTGTTGCATGTGTGTTTAAGTGTATATGCATGTATGTGTGTCGTTTGAAAGCCTGTCGAAATATGCTTATAACATGTAGCTACACAGCTACAGTGCTGGCAGGTGACTGCACACCAACACTGTCAACAATTCGTACAAATTTGCGAAGAAAGGAGGAGAGACAAACAAAAAAAAAACACAATAAAAGCTAAAAAAGAAAACATTCAAAACGATTACGACTGCTGTTGTTGGGCACGGCGACGATGGTAACGGCAATGACGACAATTTCTAATGGCGACGGCGACAATTCTGCACACGCACACACACAAATACATGAGATTGTTGATGATGGCGTCGAAGACATTGCTGGCCGGCTGATAGGCCGACTAGCAGAGCACGCGGAGCAGGTGAGTGTGTTCATACGCTAACGGTGAACACGACGACGTCAAAATTCCAATGCAATTGAATACACAAATTGGATATATTTTTTGTGCAAACATTTAAATAAAAAAAAAAATATATATAAAAAAATGTATGTATATATATATATATATGTATATGTATGTATGTGTATACATATGTGTGTATTTTTGGCACTTTATATAATTCTTTATATGCTTTACTCTAGCTATATGCTAAATAAATGCATATATATATATATATATATATATATATATTATTCATATATACGTTTTGATGTAGATGTTTATTTATTGTTGTTGTTGTTGAGCGTTGACAGTGGGCACGACATTGCTGGCGACAACTGCGGCCCCTCTCAACAACTCAATGCAATTACAACTGCTAGTCGGTAAATTTGTATATACATATTTACTTGTTACATATGCCAGCAGCTATATTTTTTGTTTTTGTAAATATTAAGGTAGTTATGTGTTTGCATTACCCCTTTCCGTTTGTGAGTGCAACGCCGCAGCGAACAGGCGTAAAAGAGGAAAAACAAATGAGCTTTGTTGCTGCACCAGCACACACACCAGTACTTTGCCACACTTTCTGTTTCAACACTTTTTACCGTTAACTATTTGTTTTTTTTTTTTTTAATTTTTCGTTTAAACTTTTTTATTTTGTTTTCTCCAATTAATTATATTTTTTACCGTTTTAAAACATTGAATTCCTTTATTTTGAGAATTTTTGTTTTTGTATTTTCTGTGAGAGTTTTCAGTTTTGGCCCGTTTTGTACGTCCGCAGCGCTAGAAGGTGTCGAAGTAACTAAATCACACACAAAAATGACAACACAAATTTCGAGTGCTCGCCGTCGCCGTCGTCGTTGTCGATGACGATGGCATTGCCGAGTCGCCAGCGCTTTCGTCGAAGAAACAGCTGCGTTATCGTCAACAACGCCAACAAAAAGCAAACAACAAAAAC